GGACATGTGTGAAATTCTTGAGACATAAGGATGAGTCTGGCAAGGTCTTTTGTAAAATCATAAAACATGTTCAAAATGACAAAAGACCTTAACAACTTTTTTTTTGCTAGAAATGATCTTGGTGAGAAATTTCAAACTGAAAATCTTGGCTAAGTATTTAAAAGCTTTGGAAAACAACGTAATGGTGTTGTGGAAAGGAAATGACAAGAACCAGTAATTCCACATGTAAGCGCTTTTAAGCAAAAGCTATATAATAGGACTTGTTGTTTACAAAGTTTACATAAAACTCATTAGTTTTCGTTGAAGTTATTAAATTACATCAAGGAAACATCAATATTTCCAAGTTAGTAGTTAACAAATTAAATAGAATTAAGTTAATTTTAAGTAAATACGAAATTGATTCTCAACTGATTCTTATAAAATCCTGTATGAAGGGTTAATAAAACATAATCTAAATAATAAAATATAAAAGTAAAAATATAACCTAATGAAATTAATATATAAGAATGTTATAAAAAAATATAAATGTGAGATTGATAACACTAAATGAAATAATAAATTAATATTTACATATTATTCTTCAATTTATTATTATTTTGATTTTAAATTAATCAAAGTAGACTATGAATTAAAAAGAAAAACTTTTTAGATTATATATAGTAAATTCTTACATTCTTAATAAATTATACTATGTCTAATTATGTATATTTTTTTTGTCTCCTTACCAAGTAAAAGACTAATTAATTGAAGTACAATCTTAGGTTAATTATTGTTAAAATTTTTATCTTTAATCAAAGTGCATTCTAAAATATTGACAAAAACTCATGAAAGCTTACACTAGTAAAAAAACTGCTTTCTAACGCGTCTTATAGGCATCGGTTTTACGAAAACCGAAGCAAATGAAAACGCGATGGCATTTTTGCAATTTTAGCGACCTTATAAGCCTCGGTTCAAGAGGAGCCGAGGCATAAAGTGTGTATTACCTCAGTTAATATAAGAACCGATGTATAATGTATCACATTTTCCCGCTAAATCATGTGAAAAACATCTACGACATCGGTTGCCCTTGGACCCGAGGCAGTAGGGCCTTTGCAAGTTTGAACGAAGCTTTTATGCTTCGGTTTTATGTGCACCCGGGGCGTATAGTTCATGTTTAGGCATTGGGTCAGGTGAATAACAGGGGCAGTATGGTTTGATTACCTCGGTTAAGATATAACCGAAGCAATATTGCTTTTATATTTTCACAATTAACCTTACGCGCACTGTGTTTCTTCGTTCTTCTGTTATTGTCGATGCATCCAAAAGCTTCGCTGCGTCTAGCTTTCTTCTTCCTCTTCATCTCCACCATTGCTGCCGCTGCTTGTCGTGCCTCCCCCATCGCTGCTCGCCGCGCCTCCGTGGCGGTGCTCGCCCTGCCTTCGTCATGTTTGTGACCGCCTCTTTCGCTCCTCCCTTGCTCGTTCATAGCGGTTTGTACCTCCGTCGCGGTCTTACCTTAGTTGCGCCGCGTTCTCCACCACTACTCGCGTTCTCCACCACTACTCCCCTCCCTTGGTCGTGTTAAGCAAACCGACATTGTTCCACCTGTTCAATCTGCGAAGAAGCTTGCCTAGCTTAAGGAGTCGAAACCCAAACCTGAGGATAAGCGAAGAAAGTGGCTAAACTAGAGCCAGAGAAGCCCAAAGAAGAGGCAGAAGAGGAGGCACCCAAGCCCAAACCCAAAAAATGTTCCAGATCTGTTCAACTTTATCTCTTTATTTCCTTTCTCTCCACCACTTTTTCCTTCACTTTGATCCGGCTTACTGGGTCTCCTTTTTTGTTCCGAGGAGAGAAATATTATTCTCGCCCTTCACTTTCTGTCCCGACATCCGTGACCCTCTAATTTAATGGTTTTTGTTTGCATCCAGATCGAAACTCGGACTCATGCAGAGGCAAAACCCGATCATTCCTACGCGGAATCGACGTTAATCGGTTACCTTCGGCCGTGGACATGAAAGAGGAAGCGAGAGTTTCGTCTCCGAACAACACCGTTTCGAGCGTGAGCGGAAAGCGAAGCGAGCGAGAACCCAACAGCAAAGAACACGACATGAATAGTGCCTGTTCCCGCGGAATCAACGACGAAGAAGACCGCGAAACCTCAAGGAAAAAACTCAGACTCTCCAAAGACCAATCAGTTATTTTGGAAGAAAGTTTCAAAGAGCACAATACCCTCAACCATGTAAGCTTAACAGAAAACCACCTTAAAATTAGTTATTACATTTTTGTTGGTACTAAACTAAAACCGCTAATTAACGTTAATTAATTTAATGTTCTGGTAGAAGCAAAAACTTGCACTGGCAAAACAGCTAAGCCTTCTATGAAGACAAGTTGAGGTGTGGTTCCATAACCGAAGAACAACTCCACATCTCTCCTGCTTTTCATCATCATCATCATCATCCCCTTCTTACTCTCTCTCTCTCTCTCAACTGCACCTCAATCTCACTCCCTCGTTACCCAACTTCTTCAACAACTAAAATTTATAAAGCTAGAGATGATGGTTCAAAAGGAAGATTTGGGTTTGAGTGTAAGCCTCAACTCACTCGTTACCTAACTTCTTCTAGTTTATTTGATTTCTCCTCTTTTTCACATTCCTTTTCCTTTTCCTATTTTATACGCTCTTCCGTTTCACATCTGCATCGACCAGTGGATTGATTTTTTAACTTTGGAGATTGATTCTAATAATCCTTAAATCCTACCGTCAATGAAACTAAAAAAAAAAAGACAAACTGCCTCGGTTCAGAGGGAACCGAGGCATAAAATTCTGTGGAAAAAAATAAAAAAATGAAAAATTTATTGCATCGGTTTCCTTTGAACCGAGGCGAAATCATCCACCTTTTTACCTCGGTTCACAATCGAGGCATAAAGTTGTGGACTTTTTGCCTCGCCTGTATATGCCTCGGTTCAAGAACCGCTGCCTATGAGCGAAAATAACCGTTGTCGTTTTTTCTGACTGCACTAGTGTTATAACTTTAATCAAAGTACATTCTTAACTAAAATGAAAAAGCTTAAGACTCATATGATCAATATGCATATAGATTAAAAACCTTACTAGTTCGCTATGATATAAAAATCACTAATTTTTATATGATTCAGAGATGAAAGACATAGATAAATGAAAACCAAAACAATAATAAAAAGAACAAAGACATTATTTTAATCTAATGCCATAATCCATAATGAAATTAAAACAAAATCAACTCAAGAAGGTTATCCCTCCATGGATAAAATGAATGGATGAGAAAAAAAGTGGGAAGAAAGTGGTAGACATGGTGGATTAGAATTGTACAAAATTAGAGTGGATAAGAGTTTCCTTTCATGCTTCCCATTGGTTTCTTTATATAGAACTTGATTTGGGCTTGGGTTTGACTTTTCTGTTGCTAAAATCTATTTTATGATAATGTAATATTTACAAAATAATTAATAGATTTGATCAATTTTAAATATTTGGCTAATATTTTATGTTGATAATTTATAATATAATTAAATAAAAAAATATTTAATAAATTACCAACAATTGAATTTTGTCTAATTTTCCAATTCAGCCTTTGCAATCACATAGTTGAAATTTGCTGAGAAATCCTAATATATCAGTATTTTCATTTTAGTCCCTCTTGTTTGACCAAATTTGATTATTTCACTAGACTTTGACTATTGGACTTGTGGTGACAATCATTTTAAGGACTTACATCATGGGTCCATGGTTAGGCCCAATTTTAGATTCCTTGTTTCTAATATAAAAATAATCTAGAATTGTATAGGTTTTTCTTGCACATTCTTTGGGTCTTGTATTTGTGTACCAAATGTTAGGCTAGTTATGCTATCAATCTAGTTCTTATGCTCTTATCCGAGCTCCCCTACTTCCAATCGTATTGTCACCACTCATGGTTACTTAGTCAATCCAGGTAACACTTCTTACAATGACTAGTTGAGTTTACCCACTCCTAGTTCCCCTAGACAATTGTCTAGTAGGCGTTTAACTCAACTAAGTTAGCTACCAAGTGTTTGAATTCTCTTCAGAATGTATAATCAATGATATTGTTTAACTCTCACAGACAAGATGTGTTTACAATACAACTCAATCTAATAGATCTTGTAGGATTTTCTCTCTTCTTATAGATGTAAGCTTATGACTCTATGAAGCTTGAGAGTATATTCTTAGAGTTTCTATTCTTGCAGGAGTATGAGTTTCACTTTATGTTAGTCGATCTTTTCGTTGTTTGTGTGCTTATCCATCTTATCTTCTTTCCAAGAGATCTTCTATTTATAGACTTAATAGGAAGGGATCCGTTAGATAATGAGTATCTTCAAACTTCAAATCTTCGTAGCCTTTTCGTAGGTGACAATCATAGGTTGAAGTTAACGTGTCACAGCAAGCATGCTTTTTGCAGTACTTTAACCAAAGTATGTTGTACGAACTCTTCAACACGAATTTTATGGAGAGAACATTCCATGAATGTCTTTTTTGTTTCTAACGTCCACTTTTGACTTGTTCATGATATGCTTCTGCACAGAGTAGAGTAGAAATTTATGTTGACAGATATGTCATTTTTTTATTACTTTTCTTGTTTGAAACATTGTGCATGTAATGTTTTGCATTGCATGTTCAAAACAACTTTGTCAATTTTTCTATATATGTAACTCATTTAAGCATTTTTGAAAAGATATCAAGTAGTGATTCATAAAGGTTTCATCGTTGTATGAAAATGTTGTTTAGTATAAAGGTGTCGTTTAGGCTATTAAATTACTAACAGCGCATCGTTTAATGATCTTTGTTTAGTACGAAAGAACGTTTAAGAAAGTGTTACTGAACATATTGTTTTTGTAGTTTAGAACGTTTGCCAAAAACATCATGTATCACATCATTGCATTGTTTTCAAAGATACAGTAAAAGTGCATTTAGCAAATATATCATGTAGCGTATTGATGTGTTTGCAAAAATATCATTTAATGGTGCATCTACTATCATAATAGTGCATTTACTAAAATATCATTTAATAGTGCGTTCACTAAAATATCATTTAATAGTGCGTTTACTAAAATATCATGCACTAATCATTTCATAATAAGTCATCTAGGAGTAGTGTGTTTACTGAAAATAGGATTTGGTCCTAACATATTTACTTAAACTTTTCTTTTGTTTATTAAGATGCTATAATGCTTTTTTCATAAGATGTGTTTCATTCAACGATATTATTTTCGCAAAGATAATACTTTGTCTAATATTCATTTCGTTTATCTTTGTTTGTTAAGCTTCAAAGCATGAAGGTGTTAGACGATCCTGTCTTATAGACAATCTTATCTTATCTTAACAAAGAATTATGTAATATGATGAGTGACATAAGCATGTAGCAACTAGAAGAGATCCTTTGTGTATATGACAGGATGCTCATGGTTTGTAGGAGAAGGTGAACTAACAAGGAGTTAAAGAGACAAGTGAAAAAAGGAAGAGGAAACGGTGAGTGTAAAGGTAAAAATTTTTGTATTTGTTTGGGCTAACCGTTTACCAGCCAGAACAAAATTTACCCTACAAATTAAATCTCATGTAACACATTTTTACATGAAAAAAATATATTAATTAGTCTTTTACAATTTTATTTAAAATCGTATCATGACTACTGTTATTATTATTTTATTTAAAATCGTATAATGACTACTATTATTATATAAATGAATTATTATAGAAGGAAACAATATTAATGCGTGTAAAGACTTGGAAAATGGATTTTGGAAGTGATAGTGGTTTAAAAATAGTGATACTCAATTATTTTAATATTAAATGGTTTTAATAAGAATTATTTCGTTATGATCGAATTTTGTTTTTATAAAACACAGAATCTCTCTAGAAATCTCTTTTCTAAAGTTCTTTGACTTCTCTCTAAAAGTTGCTGGTGTGAATTCTGTTGAATGTCTGCTTGTTTTAATGTACAATTGGTGGTATAACATGTGAAATTTTGTGGTGATGGCTTGTTGAATGACTTTAATGTTGGCGGTTTGAGTTTATGCGATTTAAGACTTGGTTAGCTATTTGTATTGTTGAATTTTTGATCATTTGGCATGATGAATTGATGTTTGAACTTTTGTTGATATTATTGGTTTGATCTGATGGATTGAGTCGTTGGCCAATTAAGCAAATTGATATTCAATATGATGTTTAAACTTGTTTTTTTATTCAATCACGGTGTCAAGAATAGCCATTTGGTAATTTGGATAAGTCTTGAGTGCAATCAAAGCAACATTTGAAGTTTCTGGTTTCTAGTGTGGTGATGACGATTCTTTTAGGTGCTAAGTGTCATTTCTTCCCTTGCAGGTCTGGAACTTTTTCTTTGTAATTTGTTGGGTGAGCGGTTTTAGGCTCGCTAGGCTAAAGTGTTTACAAGAGCTTTGGCGTTGGATGCCAGGACTGGCGTTGAATGCTCTTGTTTCAAAGTTAATGCATGTTTTATGTGATTTCATGATTCTTGCTTGATTTGGAATGTTTATATAGATTATATGTATAAGTTTTACTTTTTTATATAGTTCAAATCCTGGAATGGTTGTTGGTTCCCTAATTAAGTTTTACTTTTTCAAAAGTTAAAATAGTTAAATTCGAAGTAATGCCACTAATTCACTGTGGGTGGTTAATATTTGTTATCTCGCATGTCATGTCACGTGACTCAAAACATAACAACGTTTATTTAAATTAACGGTAAGGGTTGAATTGATTTATTTCGCACAAATAGGGACCTAATTGAGTTAAAATTTAACTGAAGGACCAATTTGAGACAAATCTACATAAAAAGGGACATAAAAAATTATTAAACCTTTTAGTTAAGTGTTTTATCATTATTAATTTATATATGTACAAAAAAAAAAACGAACAAATATTAATAAAAGAAAATTCTCATAGCCTTTGTATTAAGTTTTTGAATGATAAATAATAATATATTACACAAACCCACAATTTAAAAATTATAATTTCTTGACATTTAAAATTTTAAATAATTAAATATGTAGATAAAACCAATTTTATTTTTCTTATTTTTACACATTAAAATATATAGGTAAATTGGTTAATATAAAAAATATGTATGAAACACAACAATTTAACAAACATTTTATATGTATAGAGAGAGACGTGCATGAGAGAGAGAGACGTGCATGCGGAGAAAAGATCAAATTTTCGTAACAATTAATTAAAGT